TTTTATATATATGTTTATGTATAATACAATTTGTTTATGTAATTTCTATAAGTACTTACAATTTGTTTATGTATAATATATGAATGACATGATTATTAATAAAAAAATTATTTTTATCATCTTTTATTTTTTATAATTTTTTTTATATATATGTTTATGTATAATACAATTTGTTTATGTAATTTCTATAAGTACTTACAATTTGTTTATGTATAATATATGAATGACATGATTATTAATAAAAAAATTATTTTTATCATCTTTTATTTTTTATAATTTTTTGTGTATAATACAATTTGTTTATGTAATTTCTATAAGTACTTACAATTTGTTTATGTATAATATATGAATGACATGATTATTAATAAAAAAATTATTTTTATCATCTTTTATTTTTTATAATTTTTTGTACTTGCAATTTATGTATATATATATAATATAATTTGTTTATGTAATTTCTATAAGTACTTACAATTTGTTTATGTATAATATATGAATGACATGATTATTAATAAAAAAATTATTTTTATCATCTTTTATTTTTTATAATTTTTTGTACTTGCAATTTATGTTATTTTAATTAATTAAAAAAAGTATGTTATTTTTTATAATTTTTATGTATATTTTATGATTTATTATTTTTTTAAAATTTAAAAAATTTAAATAAAAAAAACCGGGCCGGCCCGGTTTATGATTTATTATTTTTTTAAAATTTAAAAAATTTAAATAAAAAAAACCGGGCCGGCCCGGAGCCCGGCCCGCTCAGGCCTGGATCCGGGCTTCGGTTTTGCCCGGTTAGACCCGGATGGACACCCCTAATTGCACCCCTAGAAATCTAAAAATCATCACAAAAACACTTTATAACTACCAAATGATTCAAATAGCCCAACTCGCTTGAAATTAATGAACTCGTTGAACTTTTCAAACACTTAGATCAAATGGGCCCAAAAACCAAAAACTCAAACAATATAAACTCAAAAAAGAAGAATTCCCAAATGGCCCAAAATATGATACCAATAGGAGGGGACAAGTGAGGTGTTCATCTCCTATTGCATAATGAGCTGGTCATCATTAATGATGACCAGCTCATTATGCAATAGGAGATGAACACCTCACTTGTCTCCTTTGTTGATCCTATATTTTTTATCAGTGTAA